TGGAAGAGCATAGTCAATGTCACTGAACTGTGCATGTAGAAATTTTTGAAATGGTGTATCTTTGGCTATGCGTATTTTCACCAAAAAAAAGGTTGAGAAGTTAGAGAGTTGACATGTTGTAGGGTTGTTAACCAGTGTCATAAAACAATATGTGTACTACCGTTTCATGAGAAACTATTTGTTCTGTAAGCCTTCACCTGAAATACAATAAAAAAAAAAAAAAAAGTTAGAAGAAAAAAGGGATTTAAAGACATATCAATCAAATATAATGTGTGGGTCTCATTTGGCTCGTGGAGTTACAAACAAACTGTAAAACAAAAAATTATGAGACAACTGGGGAAATTGGAACAGTGACTAGGTATTTGACAATATTAAAGAATCATTGAGGAATTTTTTTTAGCTATGATAATGGCATTGTAGTTAGGTGTTTTAAGAGCCCTTATCTTTTAAAATGAAATTCCTAATTACAGATGAAATGATATGATTCTCTTATGATTTTCTGGGATTTGCTTCAAAATAACCCAGTGGCTAAGGGTGGAGGGCAGGAAGAGGTAGAGATGAAATGTGGGCTGGCCACTGAATGCGTAATTATTGAAGCCGGGTGACAGGTGCCTGGGGGTTCCTTATACTATCCTTTCTACTTTTATAGTTGTTTGAAATTTTCCATAATAAAAAATTAAAGAGAAGGGAGGCCCTTGGGTATCACTGTAAAAGTGAGAAACAATCTCGCAGCTTCCAGATGGCTTCAAGGCCCAACGGGCACAGCGAGGAAGAAGGTCCTAAAGACCTCCCCAGGCGACAGTCTTGGCAACGGGCATGGGGACACGATGAAACAGGAAACGGAGCTCAAACAGTCCTAAACCAGGTGCCACTGAGTAGATTCCGACTCACGGTGACCCCATGCGTGTCAGAGTAGAACTGTGCTCCGTGGGGTTTTCAATGACTGATTTTTTGGAAGTAGATCACCAGGCCTTTCTTCCAAGGTGCCTCTGGGTAGATTCAAACCGTCAACCTTTTGGCTAGCAGCCGAGTGCTTAACAGTTTATGCACTGGTCTCACTCCAGCTATACAGATGAAGGAGTCACACAAGTCCCTTACAAGGATGGGCCTTCATCTGGCCCCAGTGGGATCACGAACTTCTGAGGCACTTCAGAGAATTCCACCCCAAGTGTAATTATATTCTATCTACTTGTTTACATACACATTTTCCATTTTCCCACCTTGAATAAAAACTCCAGGAGGAGCCAGAGCAGGACCGGCTCCCGTTCTATCGTACCCCCACTGCTAAACACACTGCCTGAAACACAGTGGGTGCCCCATCAGCGTTTGCCGAGTGACTAGGGGACCCCCAACTCCAGGATCCCCGCCCCCGTTTTTAGGCAGACATGAAAAGTGGCTCCAGCTCCTCCCACTCCCAGGGAGTGGCCCTGCTGCCCAGAGCACCACACCGCAAACCGAAGCCAGAGCTGGTCCCTGTGCCTCCATCCACCTCATCGGAGCCCTGCCACCTCCACCCATCTCCATTGGAGCCCTGCACCTCCGTCCACCTCACCGGAGCCCCACGCCTCCGTCCACCTCACCGGAGCCCCGCCCCTCCGTCCACCTCACCGGAGCCCCGCGCCTCCGTCCACCTCATCGGAGCCCTGCTGAGACAGCAGTGAGGAAGCCAGCCCCGGAGGACACGGGCGGAGCGGCCAGGCTGCCCACGGGAGATAAGATCAGCTGTCCTAAGAGGGAACTTCAGACTCTTTGTGGCAGAGATGGCACAAAGTGTGGACAGCCCATGTGGAGTACACAAAGTTTACAGCTACCGTGTAGACCACAAGCTGGGGGCTCACTCATTTCAAAGCTTAACAATAAAACTTTATTTCCTACTCCCTGTATAAAGAATTGTTAAAAAAAAAAAAAAAAAGAAGAAGAAGAAGAAAGAAAGAATCAGCATTAGTGACCACATACTCAGGGTAGCCTTCTGACCCCTCCCCAGGCTGGGTTAGGACCCCGAAGCAGCCCATGCCAACTTCTGCCCTAGCATCATTCCCGTGCCTTCAAACAACCTGTTTCCAGAATCCCCTGACGGCATGCTGTGTGCCCTGGGAACCAAGCGCAGGGCCTGGCACACAGCAGATGCTCAATGTTTGCTGAATGAATCTGCACTGAGAAAACCTTGAGAACTGGAATACGGACCTCAGTTCCCTTGGCTGGACCGTATAGGTACTCTACTTGGAAGTTCTTTGGAACTTGAAAAGCATGCTGTTATACATTGTGATTAAATTCCCAGGCTAGCCCACAAAAACCCACTTAACCAGTAACTAACAGCCTGAAATAAAAGGACCAAACTTAATCTCCTTTTGTTCGTTTTTTTCCTATAGACAAACAGACCCAGCCCACCATCCACCTGGGAGACCAGGAGGACTTTTGCCTGCAGCCAAGATAACACAAGAGCCCCAGGGATGCAGGCCTGCTCACCCCACCCTGAAGAAGCCACAGGCGCATAATGAGCAAGATGGTTATAAGGGGTGACTACTGGTGTCGGGGAAACCCTGGTGGCATAGTGGTTAAGAGCTACGGCTGCTCACAGCAGTTCGATTCCACCAGGCACTCCTTGGAAACTCTATGGGGCAGTTCTGCTCTGTCCTATAGGGCTGCTATGAGTTGGAATCGACTCGACGGCAACGGGTTTAATGGGTTTTTATTGGTGTGGGGGTGTCACAAGGACTCTGTGACTAGAACCGGGGAACATGAGGAGAAAGAGCCCGCGCTGCCCAGGCAGAGGGCAGGGGATCGCAGGAAGGAGTGGGAGGCAGGGTGGGAGGGGGAGGCGCACTGCGCCCTCAGCTGCCACACACACCACTGCTCCAGATCACACAGGATGAGGCAGCCCGTCCTCATCCTTGAGCTTGGCCACGGGGAGAAGTCTGAGGGCACTTAACCCCGGGGGCACACGTTTTTAAAAAGTGGTGACACCACGTTGTTTAAGAGTCCAATAAAGGACTGTGGTCCCTAGGGAAGATTCCAGAGTGGCCAAGGTTGGCCTGCTGACAACATGCGGATCCTCTGGGGGCAACAGAAAGGATGACCGCTCTCCTAGAAGCAATCAGAACATTCTATTTTTTCATCGACCAACAAACACAGACGGAGCACTGACATGGGCTGGACGAGATGAGCCGGTGCCCTGGCTCACATCCCTTCCCCCATCACAAGGCCAAGGGGGCAGGGGCCAGCCATCAGCACCTCCCCACCACTGAATTCTGCAGAGAAGTTGGTCCAGCCCGGTCTGACTGAACGAGGCCAAAGAAGGCCAGAAATTCAGTGCCACTAACATGGGCCCAAAGCAGTTCTTCCTGGGCTTGGGGAGCTCAGGAGGGCTGGAGTGAGGGCCTGGGGTGCTGCTGGGAATGGGGTGTCACATTTTAAGAAGACTCTCTCATTCCTGAGTACCAGAAAGGAAGGTGACCATGATGGCAAAGTTGTTGTACAAAATTCCCTTTTCTGCTAAAGTTAAGCCCCAGCGGGATTCCACTGCTGCAGGTTAAATGGCATCACACGGCGGTCAGTAAGACAGACAGGATGGCCCGAGCATGCTGACAAATATCAGTACTCCACAGTGTGACATTTTTAAGGACAAGGTAAAAATACATGTTATGATATGCTCCTCAGAGTCCCTGAGTGGTGCAAATGATTAACATGCTCAGCTGCTAACCAAAAGGCCGAAGGTGCAAGCCCACCCAGAGGCAGCTCGGAAGAAATGCCTGGTAATCTAATTCCAAAAAATTGAAAACCCCATGGAGCACACTTCCGCTCTGACACACACAGAGTCACCACGAGTTAGAATGGACTGAACAGCAACTGGAAATATGCTCTCATCTAGAAAGTATTTTTTAGACGTATCCTAAAACAAAGATAGGAAGCAAATACTCCCCAAATTAGGTCAGGCCCTCCCTGTTACATGGTTGCTTTGAATCCTGTACGTTTTCTTTGTGATACTTATCACAGCTGTTATTACTATGTATTTGCCCAAGTGTGTGGCCATCTCCCCCACTAGAACTTCAGCTCCAGCACCTAAGAGTACCTTGCATATTTAATAACTAGCTGTGAAACAAACAGATGGCAACAAATATCTTTGGGGAGCTTTAGGAGATTTTTATTTTCTTCTCTGGAAACAGATATCCATACCCAGTGCTGATGAGTCAATTCCAACTCATAGCAACCCTACGGGGCAGAAAACAACTGCCCCACAGAGTCTCCAATGTTAAAATCTTTACGGAAGCAGAGTGCCACATCTTTCTCCCACAGAGCAGCTGGTGGATTCAAACCATTGACCTTCCAGTTAGCAGCCGAGCGCTTTAACCACTGTGCCACCAGCACTTCTTTGGAAACAGCTATAGTTTCTATTTTACATCTATCTGTATACACACATATGTGTATACAGACAGATATAAAACAAACTCTTTAATGACCTCTTAAGTCCAAAGGAAAAAAAAAAATTGGTAAAAATACATGAATCACAACCCAATCATTAAAGCCAAAAGAGACTTCGAGAAACCAGGCTTCTGAGGGCAGAGGGATGGACTGGGTGAGGGAAAAGTTAGCCCCAGTTTTCCAGAAAGGCACGCGACAGAAGTGCATGATGAATCCCAGACAGGGGCTGAGAGTTCAGAGAAGGGATTGAACCCTGAGCCAGTGCAGTCTCAGGAGGCTTCCTGGAGGAAGCAGCCCAAGGCACCCACCCCCACCCCCCACCCCCCGTGCTCATTCACATTCCAAGCAGGCCCTGGTGGCTGGGTAACCTGAGCAGCTTTGTAACTGACTTCCTCTAACCTTAATTTCAGTCTGTGGTACTTCAGGCATCATCAGCGCCGCGTGGCCTATGCCTAACAGAGAAGGACAACCATCAGGATGGATGCACTTACAATCCCATGGGCTTGGGCCACCTTGCTGCACAAGTCGGGACGCCACTTTTGAAGAGCCAGATAGAACGGGTTTTTCAGGAGATCTTCATCATACAGAGCCATATGGCCTTCAGAGGGTCCAAAGTGGGCTTCCTGGGATGAGGGGAAAAAAAGCAATAAATGACCACATTGATATAACACAGAAAAGTCTTGATCTGGCAATTCTAAAAAGTATTCCTTAAAACAAAAAACAAAAATACTCCTGCCATGTATGATTCTACTCTATAGACTTAAACACTCCATCAGGAAATATCAAATGTAACCTACCCGTTCCAAGATGGCTTGTTTCTTGGTTAAATGTATACGTGATGTTCAGAAAATCCTGTTGAACTCCAAGACACCGCAAAAGTATAAAGCGCTAATTTCAGAACAGCAGACCTGACCGAAATCATGACATGAGAGATGATACTCATATATTCTAATGAAATGGTCTAAGCACACAGGAAAGTACAGAGTAATAATGCAAACACCCAAACACCTCCCACCCAGAATTACCAAATCTTAATGTTTTGCCTTTTTTGCCTCAGATTTTGTTTAATAAAGGATGGTAAAAAATGCGAAAGCTGGAAGCTGTGTGAGGCAGAAACCTGTCAGAGAAGGAAAACTCGGTATTTTCCACTAAAAGGAGCAACAGAAAAGTCGTAAGACCGCACCGTGTCACAGGTGAAAAACCTGCGAGACCCAGAAAACAAGGCATCTCGTCAAGCTCTGGCTCTCTGCATATCACAGTGGAGACCTTGGTGGCGTAGCGGTTAGGAGCTATGGCTGCTAACCAAAAGGTCAGCAGTTCAAATCCACCATGCACTCCTTGGAAACCCTATGGGACAGTTCTACTCTGTCCTGTAGGGTTGCTATGAGTTGGAATTGACTGGAGGGCAATGGGTATATCACAGTAGGCTGGAATCCCCACCGCCTTGTGCACCCTGCCCTAATCCCACTCTCTCCTCCCCTTTCAGACGCAACTATTATCCTGAAGTTGGTATATATCTTTCCCTGCTTCTATTCCTTTAACACTAATGTATCCATATAAACAATGTATTGTTTTGTGGGCTTTTAAATTTACATACATGGTGTCAAGCTATTAACTATTCCAGAACGTACCCTTTTCACTCAACATGGTTTCAAGTTCTAGCCGTGTTGATCCACACAGCTTTCGTTCATTCACTAATTTCTGCTGCACGGTATTCCTTTAAGTGTATATGCCACGGTTTATTTATCTAATATCCAATATTTGAGTTGTTCTACCTTTGCGGTATTCCATACAATGCTGCACTGAACACCCTTATCCGTGGTTTCTAGAGCACGGATACAGGAGTGATCCGGCGAACGCGCCATGAGGTGCGTGCGCCTGTAACCTCACCCGACGCTGACGCCGCTGAACCACCGTCTACATCCACGCAAAGCGTCTCGGCCATCCCATTCCTCACGTGACCTCCTAACCAACACTTCCTGGTGTCCTCTCACAATTTACTTCCTGCCAGTCTGTGAGTGCCAAACAGTATCTCACTAGCTTTAATTTTCATCTCCCTGACTAACGAAGCAGAACATCTTTTCCTATGCAGTATTCTGTTAATTGCTTTATCATTATCTCTTCCCCACTTTTCTACTGGGTTACTGGTCTTTTGCTTATGATTTTATGGTTCTTTAAATACCTGGACACTAATACATGTTGCAAATATCTTTTCCCAGTCTATGACTTGTCTTTTTAGTTTTTCCAATGGGTCCTTTCAAAAACAGAAGTTGTTATTTTTTATTGTTATTTTAATGTAGTGGAATTTGCCAATCTTTGCCTTTTGGGATCTTAAGAGATCTGTGGTAGGCATAACTCCCATCCAGTACGCCGCCCCTTTGCAAAATGACCTTACCGCGTCTCCTCTCAGAAACCCGTTGCGTCAAGTCAATTGCGATTCACAGCGACCCTATGGGACAGAACTGCCCCATAGGGTTTCCAAGGAGCGGCTGGTGGATTCGAGCTGCTGACCTTTGGGCTAGCAGCCGAGCTCTTAACCACTGAGCCCCCAGGGCTCCAAGGTAGAGTCTATTTCCGCACCCCTCAAATCTGAGCCAGCCCTGGGACCTACTTTAATGCACAAGATGAGACAGCAATGATGTTACATGGTCTCTGCATACCGACCTCCTGAGTGTCAGCCTCGAGAGGCCTTGGGGATTCTGAGTCTCCTGGAACCCTGAGGCTATCGTGCTGCGATGAAAGACCATGGGCCTAGGTGGTCAGCCCAACGCAGCCACATGAGCGAGTCCCGGGGAGACCAGAAGAACCACCCAGCCAACTGACACAATAGTGAGAAAAAATTATACTGTGGTTTGTTTATTACACAGCAAAGGCTGTCTGAAACAACGTCATTTCCAACTCCAAAGTCATAAAGATAGTCTCCTATGTTTTTTGCTAAGAATCTTAAAGTTTTGCTATTCATTTTTAGGTCTTCAATCCATCTGGATTTTATTTTTATATGTGCTATAAATCTGGAAACCTAATCTTATTTTTTCCATATAGCAAGCCAACTGTCCAATCATAATTTTTTAAATAGTCTATATCTTTCACACTGGTTAATAATGCTACCTTTGTCATACTCCAAGTTTTGTATGTTTGGCCTGTTTCCGGGTTTTACTCTGTCTAGACCAACAACGTCTAACAGAAATATAATATAAGAAATATAATTTACTACTAGATAATTTCACATCCTTGGTGTTGTTGTTCCAAGTCTTCAAACTCTGGTGTGTGCTTTACATTTACAGCCCTTCTCAATTCATACCAACCACATTTCAAGTGTTCAATGACCACACTTAGCTAGTGGCTACTGTACTGGACAGTACCAGTCTAGACCATATAATTTCACATCATTACAGTTTCATAATAAGCCTTGGTATCTCATAGACAAAGGCCTCCTTGTTGTTCTCCAGAATTGTCTGGTTCTTCCTGGTTCTTTATGTTATCGCGTGAATTATAATCAGCTTGTCAATTCCATGAAAAATCCTGTTGGGGTTTTCACTGGACCTACATTAAATTTATGGACTGGAGAATCAACATCTTTATAATAATGAATCTTATCATCCATGAACATGGTATGTCTCTCTGTGTGTGCCTTTTTTATGTCCTCCAATTAAATTTTCTCCATAAAGACCATACACAACTTTTATTAAGCCTTATTATTTATATATTGTGTATAGAACTTGTTGCTGTTATAAACGGACTTTTTATACGTAAACTAGTTATTGTAGGTAAGGTTCAAAAGGAAAAGCCAAATGGGCTTATATCATAGTCATATTATACAGATAAGAATCAGCATGGAACATACCCAAAATCACCATCAGAACTGTGACTTATGAAGCCAGTTTGCCCCGATTGGATTTATGACTGACAGGTCTCTGAACAGTTGATGGAAGACTGCATGTCAATGCTTAACTCATTTTAGGGAACAAGCTTTTTGTTTGTTTGTTTTTATTTTTTGACCTTATTTTTATTGTGCTTTAGGTGAAAGTTTACAGCTCAAGTTAATTTCTTAGACAAAAATTTATACACATATTGTTCTGTGACATTAGTTGCAATCTCCACAATGTGACAGCACACTCGCCCTTTCTACTCCAGGTTCCCTGTGTCCATTCAACCAGTTCCTGTCCCTTCCTGTCTTCTCATCCTGCCTCTGGACAGGAGCTGCCCACTTGTTCTCGTGTATCTGATTGAACTAAGAAGCACACTCCTCACGTGTATTATTTTTTGTTTTATAGTCGTCTAATCTTTGTTTGAAGAGTGGGCTTCAGGAATGGTTTCAATTCTGGGTTAACAGAGCGTCCCAGGGCCATAGTCTCGGAAGTTCCTCCGGTCTGTCAGACCATTAAGTCTGATCTTTTTATGTAAATTTGAGTTCTGCTCCACACTTTTCTTCTGCTCCATCTGGGACTCTCTGTTGTGTTCCTTGTCAGGACAGTCATTGGTGGTAGCCAGGCATCATCTAGTTCTTCTGGTCTCAGGTTGGTGGAGTTTCTGGTTTATGTGGTCCGTTAGTCTCTTGAGCTAATATTTTCCTTGTGTCTTTGGTTTTCTTCATTCTCCTTTGCTCCAAGTGGGAAGGGACCAACTGATCCATCTTAGATGGCCACTCATAAGCTTTAAGATCGCAGACGCCACTCACCAAAGTGGGATGCAGAACATTTTCTTTATGAACTTTGTACGCCAATTGACCTAGACGTCCCCTGAAACTATGGTCCCCAGGCCCAGCCTCAGCTACTCTACCCCTCAAAGTGTTTGGCTGTGTCCAGGAAACTTCTTAGCTTTTGGGGAACAAGCTGTTTTAAGGATGTTGCAATGTGCTGCTAATAACAGACAAACCAAGGCCATTAATATAAACAGGTGCTCGACACGTTTTAAGAACATTCTACAGCTTATCCGCCATTGCTCCTGGCCTGCTCCCCTTACCACACATCAGTCTGGTTTTACCAAGCTATCAGAGGAGTCTGCAAAATGAGCACAGAAAAGGAGATCAGAGTTCTAGCCACGTCATTCCTCCATCTCAGTCTGTCCCACAGGGAATTCTAATACCTGCCCTTGCAGGATTTCCATGAGGATCATATACATGCCACCATCACTATTTCTGCCAGACTGCATACCAGTGGGAGTCCTGGTGGTGTAGTGGTTAAGACCCCAGCTGCTAACCAAAAGGGTGGCAGTTCGAATCCACCATCTGCTCCTAAAAAACCCTACGGGGCAGTTTTACTCTGTTCTATAGGGTCTCTCTGAGTCAGAAATGACTCGAAGGCAATGGGTTTGGTTTTGGTTTTTGGTTTGCATACCAATGTACCACTACTTACTGCTAGCCCACATGGCGCCTCTGTGAGAATGAGAAAAAGGCACCCCTTCTTCCCCGTGGATGCAGCTCTGTGCCAGGGCACATGGCTTGGTCAGGAGCTCAGAGGCTGGCTATCGGCGCCAGCTGACCACTCCCTCTGGCCAGGCGCCCCTACGTCATGAATAACCTGCACCCCTGTATACAGTGGCCTTACCATTAATGTTTGACGTTTCCCTTGAAATGCCTACTCCCTCCTAAAGCTCATTTTATAAGCAAACCTTATTACTACTT